TATCTCCGACTTCACCAACCGCCTTACCCAGCAGATGCTTCAGCTTCGACCAGTAGCCCCTCGCCAATCACTTCAGAAAGCTCAAGTTAACAAGAATCTACTCACTAGCAAATTTGTATTTGTTCGCGTCGATGCCATTAGAAAAGGTTTACAACATCCATATGAAGGTCCTTTTCTAGTACTTAAACGCACCAATAAATACTTCACGCTGAACAAACATGGTAAACCGGAGACTGTTTCTATCGATCGTCTTAAACCAGCGTACACCGACAGCGAATATGAAACACTAGCAACGCCTGCACCAATAAACAATGAGAAAGTCAATGCAACTCCAACTCTCTCGCTCTTCACACTTCCCCCTGTACAGACACGCAGTGGGCGGCAGATCTGTAAACCTGCCCGCTATGTTCATTTCATTGACTGACATAAACGTTAACCTCATTTAGACATTCTTCTCATTACTATTGTTGTCGACATTCATTTCATTATAACCATTAATATTTATTAGTATTATTGTTTGCTGTTCGTTAACTGTACTGCAAGCACACGCATTCACCAAGTATATGTATATATCTATTTGTATATGAATTTCACAAATGTTAACGAACATGTCATGGTTTATTATGTACATAAATTTTTTATTTAAAATTATAACAAGTTTTGATTTTTTTTAAATTCCTGAATTATGCTTGTATGTGCTAAACTTTATACGACACGGATGCATTCCATACATCCTGATCTAACTTTGTATCCTTATTGTTGTTGTTGTGATATTTTGTTATCCTTATTGTTGACATTATCCCTTATTTATATTGCTTATATTCATGTAATCGTCCACGAGGACAGTACTGATGGTCCTCCGGACCTCTAAGAGGGGGAGCCCTGTGGAGTCCTCAAAAACAAACTTATCCAAATTTTACTACTATGTAAGAAATGAACATATTGTACACTACTTTGTTTTAACCATAAACTCTGTACTTTAAACTTTACCTCGGGTTTTGAATAAATATATAGTTCTGCCTTCGACTCTCCGTCTTCTCCACCATCTCAACTGCCGTCGATCAATTATAACAACCTGCTTTCTATCTCAAATTTTTGCAGGAGCACCGTAGTTTCTTCCTACGTACTTTGGTCGACCTCCGGCAACGTCAACATTGGAGAATTAGTACTGGAGCAGTCTTCCCGCAGCACCTGGAGTCTATTACGTTTATTGTGGATTTTAGATCTTTGTAAACCCAAGTAACGAAAATTTAATATATTCTTCCCGTAACTAAACTGATTTGGTATTTTATTTTCTATTTGAATTTGGGTAACTAAGCTAACAGAGTAAAAGGTCCACTACAGGTACAGGGTTCGTGCTTCAAGCTTACAGTATGTGGTCTAGTGGAGAAGATGAACCACTGATAAGCAAGTGTGTCTTGAAGTTTAAGACAAGTGTCAGTTTGACATCTGTTCAAGAAAGACATTCAGGTTTACATCCACTTTTTAAATATTCTTCTTCTTGGTACAAACTACTGAAAGCTCTTGCGTGGTTGACACGATATGTTACGTATTTAAAGGTCATGCATATTGCATAATACGATAATAGGTATGTGGGACCTTTGAGAGTCGAAGATACTAGAAATGCAGAGTTAGTGATTTTGAGCGCTGCTCAATGGAAAGCGTGGAGTGAGATTGCCAGGGAGGATAGTCCCGATTTCGCAGATTTGAAAGGGCGGTTAGATAGATTATCTCCGATAGTTTCTGAGGGGATCTTTAGAGTTGGTGGACGGCTACAAACGTCAGAATCGTCATATGAGACCCGTAATCCAGCCTTATTACCTTGCTACCATCCAGTCACTGATCTCGTCATAAGACACCACCATGTCCTTGGGGGTCATTTGGGTTCTTCACAGGTACTATCAAGTATTTAATGCAAGTTTTGAATAGTGAAAGAAGATAAAGCTGTCCGTAAAATAATTGATAAGTGCATGGAATGTAATTTTCTTGGCTGTCGCGTCGAGATTAAAGAGCATTTCGAAGGTCCTCAAACAAAGTTCATGAAGATTTATTGAAAAGAAACACCGAGAGGCCCTTCAACCCACCACATGCCAGCCACAGAGGTGAGCTATGGAAAAGACTTATAGGAATTATCGAGCGTATTCTAAGCTCCATAACTAAAAACCAGAGTTTGGATGATGAAACGTTGGAGACATTTTTGTGTGAAGCTGAACGAATACTAAATCACCGGCCGCTATTACCTGCGAGGGACGACGTGAAGGATTTCGATGTGTTAACCTCAAATAAATTGTTGTTATTGAGAGGCAACTCTGGCATAGGGGACTCAAGCGCGGAACGAATACCTACGATTAAAAATGGAAACGAGCCAGGCACATAAAAGATATATTTTGAAAAAGATGGTTAAAAGAGTATGTTCTAACACTGCAAACAAGTGACAAGTGGAAAAGTTGTGCAGAAACTTAAAGGTTGGTGATATAGTCTTAGTAGCAGAAAAATGTGCCACAGGTAGATGGCCTTTGGGAGCGGTAGAAAGGCTACTCTGTAGTGGTGATAGGTTGGTGAGGAGGTCGAGGTGAGAACAAGTTTTGTTATATTGGTGCGAGATAGTAGGAATTGTGTATGCTGGAAGGTGCAGAGTTGAGAGTCAGGGGATGAACAAATTGATGGTTTTCCAACTTCGGGAGTCAACCTGAGAAGGGTTGTAGGCGTACTGCTGTAAGTCCTACAGTTCTTCAAGGGTAGTACGTCGAATCGCAGTCCATCGTACTTGGTGTGTTGTTTTATACAGACGTTGTCAATGTAGATTAATATTGAACGATCAATTAATGGTTGTTTGCTCAAACCCAACTCCATATTTTGGCGTGAGTAACCGATACTACAGTCATCTATCGCTGTCAGAAGACGGAGAAATACTATCAGAAGTATTACTGTGATTTATTGTTATGACATTTATTCTTAGACTTTGTGTACAATAACCTAATGGTTGGCTCTTTATTGGTGCAAGAATGAACGGTTCTTGAGTCACCAATTTGTGTTCCTGTTTTTGGCGTTGGTCATTGAGCATAGTTCCTGAAAGTCTTTTAAGGACAGCGTTAAGTCCAGTGTAGTTAGACCTGGACTTTGACAAATGCTATTATTTAGTCTCATTCTCTGCCTGCCTGTATTTCCTCACCTGAGCTATCTGCCATATTTTTTATCTTATTAGGTTCAACTAAACAGGGAATTCGTGACCAATAGGGCTCAGCAGGTCGGTTGTGAGGACAAATACTCACCAGAGACATTGCCTAACTTTCGCGCTATGTGGCGAATCGGCAGAAGTTAGAATTCATGGGCTATTGGATCGGATCCCAGTGGCTTGATGGTATACGAGCTTGCCTTGTAACCAGAAGTTCCTGGTTTCGAACAGTAGCGGTGGGTGCGTACTGCTGAAGGGTCCCAAACTATGACTATACAACTGTCCATTACTCCCAGGTTTTCCAGTTGTTCTCTAACTAATGTCAGCTCATGGTGAAATACTGTAAACCGGTGAAAACCCACAAGCCCATCTCAGTTTCACAATCTAGCTTGACTAAGAAACAACCTGTGTCTTGTTAAAATATGAAGAGTATTACAGGTAGTAGTTTTCGTTCCACGTCATACCACCCTTATGTATATAAAATATTTTAACTGAAACTTCATAACTATTCCTTCGGACGTTGAGTGACACTTAGCTTATGATCCTAAATCCCCATCAACAGCTAGAATTATGGGGTCCCTATTAAAGTTTTTCGTAATAGTTGTATTTCGCAGTGACCAAATTAAAGGAAATCAAAGAACAACACAGGGAGGGTTATATGTTGGAATTGTTTGCTTCCACGTGGAAATCCCAGAAGGATAGCTCACCAGAGGGCAAGGACCCGGGTGCGCTCCCACTTCTTTTCACTGCGGGTTTGTCGTCCCTGGAATTCCTTACCGGCAGATGTAGCTATGGCACCGTCTTTGGACGCCTTTAAGCGAAGGCTGGACAACCATGCAGCGATACAAGGACTGCATCCAAATGGCCTATCTCCTTAAAATCGCATTTACCAATCAGGGTAGATAATTAAACTCGTCATTTTACTTCTTTACATTCTCTCCCGTCTTACTCTCCTGACAACTTATTAATATTATAATTACTATTATTATTATTATTATTATTATTACTATTACTGATATATATATTATTCTTCAAACTTCATGAGCTGACTGTTGTTACGTTTCCTATTTTCGTTTCTGTCTCTTAGTCTGAATAGCTTCACTAATTATATCTATTATTATTATTATTACTATTATTATTATTATTACTATCTCTTTTCTCTTGTCGACAATACCGAAGGACTAACTGGCGAAAGGATCAACTCCAATCACAGTAGTAACAGTCTTAACATACCTCATACTACAAACCACATATAATTAATCCCAGCACTACTCCCTTTGGAGTCAACCAAAGCTACGACAGTCGAGTGGCGGGACAAGCTACGCAGAAGTTTACCGAAGATCAAGAACCTATACCTCACAATCAAGAAGCGAGCACAAAGAAATCAAATTGGTTTATACTAGCTCGTAAAAACGATATTGGATATTGGATTCACTAGGCAAGTGACCCACTTAATACTTCACGGAGTTCGAAGAGTCTGTAAAAAACTAGGTTATTAAATTAGGGCAGGTAGCAATTAATCAGGAGGCAGTGAATCTACTGCAGACAATCAGCCTTGGTAGACTGAGTCATCACTGAAGCACGAACAGTGTTCTCACTGGACTCTGTTAGGACTAGCCATTTCAGAATCATTGTGGATTTTGCAAGTTTCTATGAAGAATTTCTTAATGAACGTAGTTCTGTAGCATGCATGATAAATATATCATGAAAGCTTCCAGCGTAATTCTAAAATGAAAAGGAGGATATGTTTTTGCATGGATTGGTCACTATGCCCTCAAATTCATGAATTTGTTTTAATTTCTTAAATTCAAGTTTCATGAACTTCCAAGGATTGTCCATGTTTTCGAAGTTTGGCCTTGAGGTCAAATGCAAAATATTTTCCAGCCTCACCCTTTTTCCACGGCTGTTGGTACACTTACAGGTATGGCTTCAAAAGCTTTTTAACATAAATTTCTATAGAGCGGGCAACTGATAGTGGCCGACCGGCTGAAGATTGGGCACTTATATTAGAAATTTGTGACTTAGTTAATGAGACAGACGATGGGTGATTTCATTTTGAGCTATTATTGAAACTTTTAGGCCTAAGGAAGCTATTAGAGCCATAAAGAAACGTTTGGTTATGTCTGCCGGGAGGGATAACATATCCATTTGGTACACTTTGACACTTCTCGAAACTCTTGTAAGAAATTGCGGGAGGAGGTTTCACAGTCAAGTGGCGAACAAGGAATTTCTACACGCATTTTTGAAACTTCTTTCACCGAAAAATGACCCCCCTCAACAACTACAAACGAAGGTGTTATACATGCTGAAGGTAATTCGGTTAAGGCTTTTCTTATTATATAGTGTTGGATATCGAGTAACTGGGATGTTCCAGGAAAACGTGATCTCGACAAGGTTTATGCATCGCTTTTGCAGAGAGGAGTACAATTCCCTACAGTTCTGCCATCTGAATGCTGTCTTCCAAAGCCTTTACGAATGAGTGTGAGTACAGTCGTTTTCTTCCAGTTCTTTTACTTACTTGACTTAATATTTGTGTAAGAAATTCGTTTCCAAACATCTGTGTTTTTCCTCTCTGGTGCGTGTCTCACGAGTGCTTACAGTTTTATTCCTACATCTGCCTGTATTTCTTATAGTAGCATAACACTTGCGCTACATGGTTCCATAGTGATGAGTAATATAATGCTAGTGTAGCTTGTTTTTGTTCAGCCTTGTTTTAATTACCATTACCTTTGTGGTGGTTAGAAAACTAGACTCTTAATCACTGATCAAAATTGTATTCAGTTACTGACGCCTTAAACCGTGAGAATACTAATTTGTGTGGCGTACTTTAAATTCCTATTCAAACAGGGATTTGAGTTTGAAGATGGAAGATTATATGCCATATATTGATAGCTTATCACTGGACGTTTCTGCATTTATAATCTCTTGAACGAACGTATTGAATTTGAGGTTGTCAAGTCTTTTGGATGACTATATCGACATCTAATCACTTAGTGAATGAGCTCCAATATCCAATATCCTGATTACGAGCTAGTATAAACCAGTGATTTCTTTGAGCTCGCTTCTTGATTGTGAGGTAGAGGTACCAGATCTTCGGTGAGCTTCTGCGTAGTAAGTCCCGCCACTCGACTGCTTTAGCTCTGGTAGACTCCAGGAGGAGTGGTGCGGGGATTGGTCGAGATGTGGTTTGTAGTATGCAGTATGTTAGGACTGTATTGCTGCCGTGAATGGAGTTTGACCTAACTCCTCTTGGTCATTCGGTGTAGTCATAAAAGCAGAATAGTGATAATAATCATAATAATAATAGGTTGTAGTGTAGATAATATAGGTTGAGATAAGTGGAATAATAAAGGTGGCCTAAGGAAAAGATAGAGTGAGAGAAGGCAGAATAGGTCGTGGGGATTTAGTTTGTACGCTTATTCATTGACAGTGTGGTTTCAAATTTTATGAGGATAAGCCATTGAGACACAAACCTTGCATTTCTGCATGATTGTCTAGCTTCCGCTTAAAAATCTCCAGAGATGGCGCTGTAGTCACGGCCGCCGGTAAGGCGTTCCAGAGACGGCAAACACGAAGCGAAAAGAAATGTGATCGCACTCGAGTCTTTGGTCTCTGGTGTGCTATCCTTAGCGGGTTACCTCGTGGAAGCCTATAATCACTTAATGGCAGGATGCTTTTATTTGGATGGGCCTGGTCATTTAGGATCTTGTAGACGGTGATGAGGTCTCCCCTGTGCCTACGGTAACTGAGTGTGAAAAGACCTAATTTCTTTAGTCTTTCCTCATATGGTTTGTTGCGGAGGCCGATCACTCATTTTGTCGCTCGTCTCTGGACACTTTCTAGAATGTTAGCATCCCTTTTGAGTAGCGGAGGTGCAATGATATTATGCACCTCAAGGTGTGGCCTCACATATGCCTTGTATAGCCTTAAGAACAGTTCGGGAGTGAGAGCTCTCAGTTGCCTGTGCATAAAGTGTAATGTTGCGTAGGCTTTGGCGACGTCCCTCGAGTAATTTCCACTGGTGTCTAGCTTTTCTGTTAGAATAAAACCTAGATCACGCTCTGGTTGAACACAACTCAAGTTCTGGCCACCAAGGGTGTAATTTACACTCTGTGACCTGCTGGAATGAAGCTGCACTACTTTGCACTTCTTTAGATTGAAAGGCATTCCGTTAGCCAAAGCCCAATTTCCCAGAGTTTGCAGGTCAGCCTGCAATCTATCTGAGTCTTCCGATGAGTTTATTGCTCTCCAAATCTTTACGTCGTCAGCTGGTACTTCTTGGAGATACGGATTGTTCTGGGCTTATTTTACCATTCCGCGTTGATCTAAACTAATGTGAATGAGCGAGATACATTGTTTAACTTCATTACAGTTCTTAAGTTTTCGTCACCTCATGGTTAACTTTGATGTACTATAAAGCTAAGGAGTAGCATGAGATTTAGCCACAATACGAGTGAATTTTTAAATCTCTGAGGAAATCAAATTCTTGAATTCAAGATGTGGAGTTCTCTTAGTACTTAAAACTTTAAAAAATTATCGGTAGCTACAGCTGGCACACCTTGAAACTGATGAAAGTGCACTGGCCTTTTACTTCACATTCATTTCTTCATAATTCACATATTATATATTCGGTTTCCGTCTGTTTGTTCATGTTTTCCGCGTTGATTCAGACACCTTTCTCTTTGTTTGCGTTATATGTTGTTATTAACTGACAATATTGAGGAATTTTTCGTTAATGTTTTCTGTGAATAAACTAACTTTAAATGTAAACAATCAAACAGATTCGACTGATTCCATACATCTTTAAGAGATTTGTGCATGATTACCTTCTTTTCGTTTTCAGAGTTGCTCATTGAGTAAAACCTAAAATTTTAACAGTGATTGAATATTATTCATTAATGCACATTACTCTGTCACTAATTAGACTACATCTCAAATTTTCTTACTCTGGCTGCTATTGTACACTTCAAATATTTTGTAAAGGTTGTACAAGAGCTGTAGTCTATAGATGTGTGCCAGTCAGTATGTTTACGTCAAGTGAAAGGGAAGTAAAGAGAACAAAGAAATGGGAGTAATGCAGTTGAGGGGTCTAGTGTACAAATGGACATCAAAACAGATGTGATGTAACTAAAAATAGAGTGACTGTGTAACATCAGAACTGGAGCACTATGTTAAAGTACATTTATTTGATGTGATACACAACGATACAGTAGTTTCGACTTGATGAGCTTTCTAGCACAGTTTTTCCCAATAAGTATATCAACATGTTATAGCGTAAAGACAAATCATAAATACATATACCTCATTAAAATTGGCCCTGACCTGTGCCACATAAAGTCATTAACCACAAGTTACTGTGGTCACGTAGACCCTAGCCTCTCTAACTATACTAACTTATCTGGATCAGACTAGCTGTCAACGCCTCTGTGGGGTTTGTTTATTCTTCTGTTTGATCACCGTTGCATCTCTTCTAAGCCGTTTTTATTTCTTTTAACAAATCTCGTTCGATTAAATGCATTTTCTTAGTACAGTGTACTGCTTTCTTAAATAAAGACTATTTTAATATTGCAGAAAGAGAATGTCTAAATTCATGACGATTTCGAAACCAGAGACCAACTGTTATAGTTTTACTCCTATTTTTCTATTTTAATTTGAATGGATAATATATGATCTTCGGTTCATTTAACCGACATAATATGTATTTGGTTGAATTCACTGGCAAGTTACTGTTTTGCTCAATGTTAGTGTTAAACACAGTGACAAATTTTTATTTATTTACAACTTCCCAAATACATTTTATAGTTCATACTCACTTCAGAACACCACTAAATAAATCCACTTTATATTGGTCTCCTCCAAGTGCATACTTGTCGTAATTTTCTTACAAAATAAATTTTTCAACATTGAATTGATTAAAAATTTGGTGGAATAAGTATTATAGTTTGTACAAGACTGAAGAGGACGGTTGAAATAAGGTGGACCCATATTACGATGCTCCAATATACGCTCTTAATATTAGCTGATTGGAGGTAATTGGCAGGTTTCATGTTAGTTGTCAGTCGTCGGCAAGGCGTATCTGCAGCCTCGAAGGGACCAATGCCCCTTTTGAGGTCCGAACCCATGTCACCTAGTTCTGCAGTCAGAGACGTTACCACTGAGTTATTTGGGCTCGTGATTGACCTCCTATATGACTGTATTGGATACTTTGATTGGACAGTAGTTAGTAAGTAGTTTAGTATGTCTAGTACTTTCTTTGGTGCAGGCTGACTTCTATCAGTCATGTTCTCAATGAGGCCACCGTGCTAGGTGGCTTACTATCACTGTGCATTGTGAATTGTTGTTATTAAATGGTTGGAGGGGACATGAGTTCCTTCAAACTTGCAGGTACGTCTTGCCAACGAGTGCCAACTAGCATGAGACTTCCAACCATCTAAAATCAACAATTTGCAGTACACCGTGATAATGAGCCACCAAGCATAGTAGTCGCATAATAAACGTGAATGATAGAATTCAGTTTGCACCAAAGAAAGGACTAGACAAGTTGCACTAGTTACCAAGTAGTGTCCAATCAGAGAATTTGCCCATAGTCTTTTGCAGCATATGTGCATGCTATATCACGGTATTCATATCTGTCTGATTTCAATTTTTGTAGTACTCTTATTCTAGCTTTTGATTTTATTGAAACTAATTACCATTCATTTAACACAGATGTTGTGTTACACCAGATGCACATGTTGTGTTGATTCGTTGGACATATATTCAACAGTCTCTTTCTCTGTCCACCCGTTTGTGTGATTATGGACAAATATGTGAATTGTCACAGCTCACTTTGTTCATCTTATTGTTACCCTTAGTTTTATATTTAGTCAACTCATGTTGTGATAACCAGACTGACGCTAATCCACTACTTCGACCCAAGTACTTTGATTAAATGCCTGTGTAGAATTCTAATACGGAAAAGATTATCCCCTTCGCTAGCTAGAAAATTTGGCTGTCACTCTGATTTCAGTCATCATCATGCAATTTACCGAAATGAGAAGTAATATCAGTCCATGAAACCGTTTACCAGTGGACTGAGTAATGTGAGGTGCCTGATTAGGAACTGGGTTAATGTTCCAAACACTAGCTTATTGTACACATTTTTTTCACGCTGTGTAAAAACCACACGACAATCGTGGTCATAAGTTTAACCAGTTTTCGGTTATTGAATTATTTTCGTTTATTTCCCCTGCGTCTCTATCATTTATGTCCGTATAAATCAATGAATCAGCTGAACATAAACCTTCTACCTTTTCCCATAATAGGGTATGAAAAAGAGTTAAAAATTCTAAATGTACAATATGTATTCTGTGTTTTTATCCTCTAGGCACGCGAAAACTTAATTATATCAAAAAGTGGTCCAAGTATTCCACAAGCTACTGGATTACAAGAAAAGAAAAAATCGATTCCTAGGACTATGTCAGTTGGAAGTTCCGGTATAGGTAAGGTTGATTAGATTTATTATTATATTATTATTGTTCCCTTGGGTTCCTAGTGGAACATAGGGCTCCAACTGCATGCCTCCAGTTGCTTCTGTCTTCTGCTGTACTTTTCACCTGCATCCATGTTAGTCCATACTGTTTCAACTCCTCTTCACACGACCTCCTCCATGTCACCCTTGGACGTCTCACTCTCCGCTTCCCTTTCGGGTTCCACTCGAGCAATGGCCTGACGCGCGCGCGATGTCACCCAGCGGCCTCCTCAGCTAGTGTTCAATCCATCTCCACTTTCTCCTGCATACTTGTTGGGCGACTGGTTCTTGTTTTGTTCGTTCCCATAGTTTCTTGTTGGCGATTCTTTCCGGCCATCTGATCTTCAGTATAGAGCCAGCGAAGACAGTTTTTGATAAAGGTCTGAGTTAGCCTGTTGGAAATATTCTTTGTGACCCGCCCGACAAGTTTCTGATCCGTATAGAAGAACTGACTTGACGTTTGTATTGAAGATCCGAATTTTGTTGTTAATGCTGAGTGACGAAGATTTCCAGATTTGTTTCAGGTTGATGAATGTGTTTCTCGCCTTCCCGATTCTCACTCGATTTGACATCCTCGTTCTTTCCGGCTGCCTGTAGTTGAGACAATGCTCCCTAGATAAGTGAGTGAATGAAGTAACCTCTTTCAAATCCCTCCCATTGATGGTGATTGGCGATGGATGTTGCTGCTATTATTGTTGCTGTTGGCTGGTTATTTTCATAACCTCCGTCTTGTCTATGTTCACCTGGAGTCGTGTCTTCGCCAGCTGCTTCTTTGACCAGTATGTCGGTTTTTTTTTTGATTTACAGCTTGATTCCACACTGTATTTTTGGTACAAGTATGGAATTTTCAGCATGGATATCGGTAGCCCAAATTTTGCAGGCCGACCATAGATATCAGGTGTGCGCCGACGTGGGCTCGAACCCCGGACCATGTGCATGGTCGGCGAGAGTCCTAACCACTGTGCCACCGACGCTTGTAAGTCTTCGATTTTGTGTGACATCAAACATAAATCATCCACGCGCGAAAGCCAGGTCTTCTTGGTTCTTCACGTCGGTCCAGGATATTCCTGTCTTCTTGTTTCCCACTGTCGGATGCATAATCCAGTCCACCACAATTAAGAATATCATTGGTGATAATAAGCACCCTTGCCTAACTCCTGTGTTTACTGCAAACGCCTCGCTGAGTTTTCCGTTGTGGATCACTTGACATGTTACGTTGTCGTACAGCTGTTGAATAAGGTTGATGAATATTTTGGCACCGAACGCCGTAATACTCGAGTAGTTTCCAAATTACTTCGTGGTCAAAGGTGTCGAAGTCCTTGATTAGATTATTATGACATATTTGTAAAGTTGATTGAGCTGTTTTAGAAATAGTCAATTTTCCAAATATATTTCAGTATTTATATCTTTAATTTGATAACATCCCATCAAATTTTAAAATTTTTCAATTATAACATATTTAGAGTCGGATTTTCATCAACGTAGTCGTCTGGCTGTAAATCCATCCCATACAAGCACGTTACATCCATGTTCATCTTGTCATTGTGTACACGATTCAAGTGGTCAACCAACTGCTTGTCGTTATCTGCATACTCGTTCCAATATGAATTCATCAAATGATTCTTCCCTTGTCTCCTCTGGTCGTTATTCACGCAGTGTACATTTTAATCCTAGAAGTCAGACGAGAATACATGGTGTACCGGCAAATGATGGCACAGTAATGGTTATCAATTCTGGTAGGTGATTTTTAATCGGTTTAATAATAGCTTTTAGCTATTTTTAAAGTTGTCTGATCAAAGCATTTGTATAATCAAACTCGACAAAGCCAACATTATTCATGTAAAATTTCGAGCCAGTGTCTAGTGATACAAGTTTCCACACTTTATGGATGCATATTAAATAAGGGTTAATTTGATGTCAGATAAAGAACCTGAATTTATTATCTAAAACAGCCATTTGCTGAAGTGGTAACGTGTTTGTCTTGCAGTCTGTCGGCCCTTTGCTGGCTACCAAGAGGAGCTATAGATAAACACTTAATTAGAAGTCATCACCGATACAGTTTACCAAGTGTTTTATATATATATATTTAACATTGGCGGATGGTGATGCTACATGACGAATAGTTGGAATGATTTAATAATTCCCATTGTAACATTAAGAACACAATATTCAGCGAAGAGACTCTTTTCAACGAATTTATTATCAAGCTGTTCAATCGTATACATATGGTTTTATAAAGAAATTATATCCGGTGAGGGAATTAGGTCAAAGGTGTGAATACATGAAATAATAATAGTATGAAATGCAATTAAAATATTTTTGTGATTATAATCATAGTTTAATGTCAGGTGGCAAAATAATTAATGTCATATGTAGAATAATTCATAAGGTGTATAGATTTTGGAAAGATGTACATAATTATAAGATTAGTAGATGAATGTAAAATGTTACATAACATGGTGTGAAATTTGATAAGATAGAATTCAATAATGTAAAAATAAAAAATATACAAAAATTATAATTTTGGGTTTAAAATGTCAAGTGGGTCAAGTGGAAAAGATTCAGAGTGAGAATAGTAATAATTTTATTTTATTTTTGATTACAGCTTGATTCAACACTGTATTTTTGGTACAAGCATGGAATTTTCAGCGTGGATATCGGTAGCCCAGAATTCGCAGGCCCACCATAGATATCAGGTGTGGGTCGACAGGGGATCGAACCTCGGACCATGTGCATGGTCAGCGACAGTCCTAACCACTATGCCACCGACGCACAATAATAATAATGACAGAAATAATAAAAATAATCGAAGTAATAAGGGAAAAGTAAATAGAATAACTAGATAAACAAAATAAATAAATATCTATCCCTCTACGGCCAAGGCAGAAGTAGGCATTGTACATACTTCTTTTGTACACAAAGGTCTGGCTTAAATTCATGAATTGCCAAGGCCTTAGCTGTCTTTAGAAGTTGGTAACGACGAAAACGCGGGAAGTCAGCATGAATTCTATATATGATCTTGAAATCATGGTCAGGGTTGACCGAGTGACAGAAGCCGATCAGGTGTTCCAGAATAGAGCTTCACACACACTTCGTTTCTCCCTTGTAAAACCAAGCTGGCATATGATCTCGTATCCGTGTGGAAAGCGTTCTCTGACTACGGCCAATGTATCTTGCTCCACAAGAGCAGGTGAACTGGTAGATGCACATGGAGGCGGTCAGATGGGAGAGTTTATCTTTTACAGAGGTAGAGAACAATTCGCGGCTCGTGAACGTCATATGTAATTTTGCTGCAGGGAGCGTCTTACTGACTGATTTAGAGGGAAGATTTCTGAGCATATGTGAAGCTTGATCACCTTTGAATTCCAAGTTCATGAATAAGGTTGTCTTTGGAACTGAGTCGGTGACTAGCTGGAAATTGGAATTCATAGTTTATTCAAACTAACCATTGACTGAAATTATTCTTGTTCCCAATGATATAAAAACCTTATCACTCTCGCCTGTTTTGTGGCAAATTTTCGGTCTATTCAAGTTTATTCGAGCATAAATTTCCTGTTAAATAAATTAGATTAAGTGATTGTTTCAGATGTTATTCTACAAAACCTAACAATATAATATTTATAATGGGTATTATTATTATTATTATTAATATAATGGTTAGCCTTTCCGTTTGACCCTGTGACCACTACTCCACTTATCTTCTCTTATTCTCACATACGCTTCCTCAATTCTAATCCGTCTTTCCTTCTGTTATGCACATCATACAAAATATTGGCAATAATTTCTGTACCTAGAGTGTCTTTGCCTACCTGTAATTGTTGTTTGTAATTCTTTTAGTTCATCATTTACGCAATTTTTCAAATGTTTGACAATCACTATTTCCGCCTGTCTATCTGTCTATTCATCTATCTGTTTTATTTTTCCATCTTTCTTTATATATTTTTTAAATTAATCCAATTTCCCTAATTTATCTTCGTGATATAAGCTGTGATGGCAAACTTTTCCACGATATGCCTGTCTCTGTATATCTGTTTTTTTTCTCACCCTTACTACATAAACTTAAGGAAAAAAAATGACATTATGAGGCGACATGACTGACGAGAAATGTAAACTCAGTGATGAAAAAGAATTATGAAGCTAATGATTATAAGAATTGGTTTGAATTCATTAGCATAAAAAAACAACAATATTCATTCCACCAAATTGGATTTGTTTTTCCTCTTCCCCCTTTTTCTCATCATTCCTAATTAGTCTTTAGCTATTTTAACATATTCTGCATTCTTCAATGATGACTAACTGGCGAAATCACACTGACATAGGATCTGACAGATGTTTTCCTTGATAGATGGTATATATATATATATTCCATATGTACAGTTCAGTAATCAAAGCGCATTACCAAAGTTAGAACCCATTTTCATCTGTTAGCTTTTAGAGATATGACTACTTTTAAGGTAGATTTCGTAACCAGTCGATATCAATCAGAAAATCATTGAGAAGCAAACAGCACTGGATAGTTATTTCATCCTAGTTTTGAACTCTACAAAGGCACATAACCATCACCCCATTAGAAATCACCCCCCCCCCTTAATCTTCAGTTACAAGGCGAACCCGTAGATTATTCGACCACTGTGTTGGAATCCAGTGACCAGTGAATTGTATCTTCTACTAGCTTGCCACATATCTTAACAAGATCTATCTTCAAAAAGCTTTTTGTGCGAATTTGCATTTCGAATCCACGTGTGGTTTATTGGTACATTCTACAACACAGAAATTCTATTGACAGTATATCGGACTAACTGCTGTCTTCAGAGTAATTTTAATCAGGATTTGATATTGTCAAAATAAAATGGAGTTGAAGTAGTACTGAACCGCTACTCCGTTCAAGTTGTAGAGTCTTCAGAAAAATGTACTCACTAGCTTGTAACTAGTGGAATCGAAGATAATTAGGCATCGTGTTGAGCGTCACTGAATCAGTTAGAACTCAATTATAACATTTACTCACTGATGACAACATATGAGAATTATACCAAACTATAATGGGTCATAGGGAATCACCTCTGAAGAGCCCAGGACTAGAATGAAACATTTGTTTCTCACTTCTAGGTTTCTAAAACAGTTCCCTACTTGAATACTGAATCGTGATGAGATCTATTTTGAGAAAACTCGAGTCGTTATCAGCCTTATGAGTCTTAGTTTATTAGTTGAAATGAAAGTTAACAAATGAATTTTATAGTATGACTTATCATCTTCATAACTTAAGTCCATCAAATAAAGCTCATGTCTAGATGCACTCGGCTAACTTATTCCATTTGAATATAAAGAAGATAGAGTCGCATTCAAGAAAAGTGTATATCCTGAAGATAGTATGCTTTTTGTCAAAATTGTGATGTAAAAATAAGTTGTATACTTGCCGTATATAACAGGTGAATAAAATTCTTTATAAACAGAAAATCTCATCATTTTAATTATAGGCATTATGATCAGGGCTTTAATTGGAGGGGGGGGATATGTAACCTTTTCTCTTTAACTAGATCCACAAATGTAAGGGCAATAGTTATATGAAACAATTCTGGTTCCAATAAGTTCATGGTGATCTAGTGGTAAGATGAACTTGTAAATGTAAACAAATATATTCGTAGATCTTTTTTATTCCTTCACGCTCCCAGTGGAACATAGGGCTTCAAGCTAGAGGCTTGAAGTTTCTGTAGCAGTGTTTATTTTTACAGGATGGGGTTGCTAGCCTCATGCCCAACCTTTCCTCTTCACCAGCTTTATTTCTGGCTTAGTGAGGTAAAGGAGTACGCCAGTCGGGGATCGAACGCCGGACCATATGCATGGTCGGCGAGTGTCCTAACCGCTGCGCCACCGACGCACCATTCGTAGACTTGATAGGTTGAATTGTTCTTCCATTCAGTTGAGATTCAGACGTATCTACCTAATATTACATGACTCCATGGATCATTACTGTATAATTTTAAATGTATTCTGTTAAATCCTCAAAATATTTTTCTCCCCTGTCGTCTTCATCGATAGATTCGGCTAAGTGGCATCATAGTTTTACCGTACAAACCTGTAGGGTTCTTATTTAGTTTCTCAGATCAGATGGTCACTCCTCAGTAGTTCATTTTGTGGTGTTTCTTTATTCGTCTACTTGTTTAAACTTCAGGGAAATTAGGTGAAGTTGTAATTCATAACCGAAACCTGACAGTATTGTGTTTATTCCATTATGAAGCCGGGGATCTGTACTCCTGATGAATGGCAAACTACTATGGAATATCTGTTTTTGTTCCTAGGTCCTCTGGAGTGTATGTTGACTTCGCAACAATTCAGTCTACAAAATCTTAATGGTTAATTTTCTGTAGTTTGGTTTGTTTGCATGGAGGATTTAATCATGAGCTGACATCAGTTAGAGAACCACAGGAAAACCTGGGAGTACTGGACAGCTGTTTCGTCCTAGTCTGAGGCTCTTCAGCAGTACGCACCCACCGGGATTCGAACTCAGGACCTTCTGGTTACAAGGCGAGCTCGTAGACCATTGAGCCACTGGGACCCGATCCAATGGTCCTTGAATTCTAACTTCTGCCAATTCACGACATAGCGCGACCACTTCGCAATGTCTTCTTCGATGAGTTACTGCCTCATCTTCAACCTGCTGTACGCTACTGGTCACAGCTTCCCACTAGAACCCTAGGTTAACTGCCTGAATAGGGCCAGTCACTAGTGAGCATCAGAT